GGAAATTGTTTTTTGCATGTCGATTTTGAAATTTACATTTATTTATTTATTTGTGTATGGGTGTATACATGTGCCACTGCTTATATGTGTATGTTAGAAGACAGCTTGTGAAAATTGGTACTGTCTTTCTACTATGTACATTCCTGGGTTCAAACTCAGATCATCAAGCTTGGCAGCAGGCATCTTCACATATTTAGCCTTTTGCTGGCATTGTATGTTGATTTTATATCCGCTACTTTGATATCACTATTTTCTTTTTGAAAAAAACATTTGTTTTATTTTATGTGTATGTATGTGTGCCTGAATGAATGTGTAGGTACCATGTATGTGCAGGAGCCTGCAGAGGCCAGAGGAAGCATCAAATCCTGTGAAATTGGAGTTACTGATAATTGTGAGCCACAATGTGGCTGCTGGGGTCCAATCAGGCATTTTTCAAGAGCAGTAAATGTTCTCCTTTTCTAAAGTGTTTTTTTTGTCTTTTGAATTAATTATTTTAATGTTATTAAACTGAAATAGACTTCTATCCTTACCTTCCTTCCTTTCCTCCTTCTAGCTCTTCCTAGCTACCTTCCCTCAAACCCTTCACATATTTCCCCTCTCAGATAACATCTTTTTACATTACAATCATTATATGCACATATACATGTATGTATGTATGTATGTATGTATGTATATGCACAAATATATCTGTACATTCAGCCTGCTGAGTTAGCTTTTAATGTTTGTGTAAACATGGTTTTAAGGCTGACTGCTCTGTATTGAACATCCAATAAGGGGAATAATCCCTGAAAAAAGCCAATAGTTCTTTGTCTAGAGGTGGGACCTGGTAAATTTCCCCCATTCCACATTAACTGTCCATTGATATTGACATTGTTCTGGTCTTGTTTATGTGTCTATTTCTAAGTGAGTCTGTTTTACAGTAGACTTCCAGGTATTTTTGACTCTTACATCATAGATGCAGGAGCTGGGTTTCCCATGATCTGTTGACCTCTGCACTGTGCCAAGCTGTGGTTTTCTGTGATGGTCTACATTTGTTATAAAGAGAGTGTGGTGGTTTGAATGAGCACAACCCCCATAATCTCATGTATTTGAATATTGGTCCCTAGATGGTACTTGGGAAAGATTAAGATATCTGGCCATGTTGGATGAAGTGTGTCATTGGGGTGTGAGATTTGAGGTTTTAAAAAGACCATTACACTCCTAGTTAGCTCTCTCTGCCTCCTGCTTGTGCATTAGCTGTAGACTCTCAGGTACAGATATAGACCCTCCAGCACCATGCTTTCCTGCATGCTACCATGCTCCCTGCCATGATGGCCATGGACTAATAAACTTTTTCTTTTGTAAGTTGCCTTGGTCATGGTGTTTTTATTTTCCTTTTACACCAACAGAAAAGTAACTAAGGCAAAGAGAGTTTTAAGAGGGGTGGTAGCTACACTTATCAGCGAGGAAAAGATTTAGAATGTGGTAAGAGATTGTGCTGGTATAACAAATTTAAAGTAGTAGGTGTGTGTGTGTGTGTGTGTGTGTATTATTAATACAATGAAAATAGGGGCCATGAATGTGAAAGTGAGCATGGAGCAATATTCAGGAAGGTTTGGAGAGAGGAAAGGGATGGGGGAAGTGATGTAATTCTAATGTCAAAAACCAAAAGAAATAATTAAAAAAGCATAGGAAAATATACATGAATAGTTTAAGGAAAAGCAATAAAATAAAATTTTAGTGAGATATGCTAAACTTCATTGACTCCCCATGGGAAGTCTTACTCTCTCTTAGGAGTGGATGGGGTGAGGTTGGGGAAAGGTGGGGAGATTGGGAGGAGGGGAGGGAGTGGGAGCTGGGATTAGTATGTAAAATGAGAAAAATTATTTTAAAATAAAAAATAATCACATTAACCCCCCCAAGTTCTTTAGCATCTAAATTCCAGATCAAAAACCTAAAAAGCCCAAATCTCCTGGCAAGTTATAATTTTCACACTAGGAAAAAAAAGGACAACTAGTTTGAAGAGTGAGAGCAGTTTTCTTTGTAATTGTTTGAAGCCATTTTAAAAAGAAAACTAGAAGTTGATGTTAATTTGCATTATTCATTCTTAAAGTTGTAGAAAGCATAATCTTTTATATGGGATAGAAGATGTTATTTGTATGTTCGATAGTATTTAATAGTTAACATTCATGTCTGCCCATGTTATTTACAATTATTATTCTTTAAGCATGGAATATTAAAAACAAAACATGAAACCCACATAATCATTGGTGTTCAGGAAAGGGTATGATAATTTTTCTTTCCCTATAGTGTATAGAAAGTGAGCAATAACAGATGTTAATATTTCCCATTCAATCTTCAACAATATAACTTTCTGCATTGAATCAGGACAGTTAGACTGTATTCAATACTGAATTTCCAAGATAGCAATGGTGGCATGCAATGAATTTCCTAGATAAATTGACTAGCTATTAGGAGAAACCAATTATGTTTATTCTGAAAACTAAAACACAGAGTATTTGCTTAAGATCAGAAATGTTTTTTTTAAGAATACAGAAGCGATACTTGATGAATGAAATAATATGTGTATAATGAGAACTAATCTGGCTAGATTATAAGATTTGAAAAGGCTGCTGATGACCAAAGGGATGTGTGTGAAGACTGGAATGTTCATGCTATAGGCAATTCTTATTTTGCCATTAGGAATTGCAAATATGAATCTCCTTCTAATTTCAATATTCTAAGTGATTCTATATTCTCATGACATTTTTTAAACTAAATAACAGGCATGTGTTCATATAAGTTATACACTTAAGCATATACTTCAAAGTGTCTTTTGTTGATCATCATCATATCTCTCATTTGTCTATCATTTATCTCTCACCTGTTTTTGGTAAGGGCATAACATACCTGTTCTATTAAAAAATAAAGGCACAGCAATATTGGTAATGGAGGGCATAATTATATATAGTAATTTTCTCCTAGACGTTTGTTATATATATCTATTTGTCATGTATACCTGAGACTCTGTACCTGAAAGTGGTGGCACAGATAGATATTTAGCAAATTAAGAACATAGATTCTGGCATCAGAATAGCTTGAGTTGAATCTTAGTTCTGAAGCTTGTTAGCAAAATGAGGATGGTAATGGTACTTACTCTAAAAAGTATTTATTAATGTATTTATACAAGTAAAGCATTTAAAACAGAGTCTAGTGATAGGGCTCACCATGATATGCCTCATTCTCATCCAGAACTAGGCAGGCAAGATGTATTTGGCCAAGTGGCATATGCATTTTGATGATGACAAGAAGCAGAAGTTGATTAAGATGGTGCATGCTGTGGTCACCATTTGGGATGCCAAGCACACCGACTTTGTTGAGTTCTGGAACTTCAAGATCATCTACTGATACTACACTGGCCTCTATTTCTGCATCTGTGTGGACATCAAGGATAAAAATCTGGCCTATCTTAAGGCCATAAACAATTTCTTGGAAATGTTAAATGAATGTTTCCACAATGTCTATGAACTGGACCTGGTGTTCAACTTCTACAAGGATTACACAATTTAGATGAGATGTTCCTGGCAGGTGAAATCTGAGAGACCAGCCAGATAAAGGTGTTGAAGCAGGTGCTGATGCTGTAGTCCTTGGAGAGAGGTGGCCTCTTCCCAGCCCAGTGTGCTGTACCAACTCACCCTGCCAGGCCCAAGTACCCTTCCAGAAGCTCCCTCCCTTCCTCAGTTGTCACAGAGGAAGGACTCAGCAGGGTCTAGGCTGCAACTCAGTGCCTCTGGTCCCTACTTTGAGAGGCTACTTTGATGTTCCAAGTAACTGTGCCATTGTGTGATGCTGTGAGGGCAGGTGTGCAACCACTGATAAATCAAACAGACAAAGAAACAATGCTTTCGGGAAAAACCCTAACAAAGCAAAGTTAAAAAAAAAAAAAAAACCTCAAACTCAAAAACCACATCAGTATATAAAATATAGAATTCATTAAATGTTAGATACCTCCATGTAATGATGTAATTTGTAACCTCAAAGAATTGATAATTCTACATGGAACACTTCCCATTGGGAGAAAACACTGGGAAATGCATGGGAAAAAAAAACTGGGAAAAGTAGTAAGAAGTGAGTTGTATGGTATAGGCTATTAAGACATAATTCATAAAAGAATAATACATTCACTGTGAGTTTGCAGGTGACTGAAGGTTTTGTGACATATCTACATGGTATGCATAGGTACATATGTGAAATGCAAACATAGACAAAAGCTTGGATGTAGAATAAGTAAGCAACATGATTATTTATATGTGACAGAATTTAACTGTGGCCATATTTTGTTCTAATTCTTCCAAAATTGAGAATTGATACAATAAATTCGAATCAGCATATTTAACAGCCCCTTCTAAATACTTTAAAATGATATCTTACTGTATATTTTAGGATAAAATTTTAGCATATCTAGTCGCATTTGAATCCTGCAAATGCACACAAGAAAGGTAAAACAAGTGCCATTCTCTTCATACAGCTGAGAAAGCTGAGGTTCTGTGTTTATGGAACTTGCTTAAAGTTACATAACTATTAATAGAGACCAGGTTAGCATGCAAGTGTCCTGGATTCCAGGATTGTGTCCTTCTCCGGCACTATGCTGATTGTGCCAAAGCAGAAATGTAGAGAATGAGACCTGATGCCATTTGACAAATATATTTGATATTTGTCTCAAGAAAGAGGAAACAATATAGAGCAAAAGTATAGGTACTGCTAGTTTTCAGATATGTTCAACAGAAACCAATGAGTTCTAGTTATTTCTGATCATTAGAGGCCTCTCTTCATTGCATACTGTTTTATTTCCCCAGGAGTTGTAGCAGTAGAAATGAACTAGACATAGCTCACATGTGGCAGATGCAGACAGAGCTCCATTCACGGTTTTCATTTTTTTCATCTCTATTATCATTTATTACTCCTGAGGTAATGTGACTTTTGGAATTCAGAGTTAAGAACAGAACGAACTTCCACAAAACTTTGCCGATGAATATCATATTTTCGTCACAACCAAGCTGTTTTCAATGGTCTGTTTTAAGAGCAAAGCTTCTACTATAATATAAAAATCACTGCAAATGAATGCTATTACTTTCAACATGCTAATAAAAAAGCAGAAAGTATAAAACAATACTAAATCTCACAATTAACTAAGTATAAATACATATCATAGGACAAGATAGATTACATATATTTGTATACATATACATAAATGCACATCTTAAGAGAGTGATATGGATATTCAAATTTTTCTTCTGGTATTTTGATCACAATAAAACTCATGTAGAAATGGATTTGAATTATTCTTTACATATTTCTTCTCCTTTCTCTGGCAAGGAAGCTTTCTTCTTAGGTATGTAAGTCATACTGGACAAAGAATGCTTTCTAAATGTAGACAGTCTTCTCCTAAAATTTCCGCCTGAAAAGAAATATAGGAGAGGGTCAAAGCAACAATTCAATGCAGCTAGAGATAAGGTTATGACCACTGACTTCTGCATCCTTAGCACAGAATCACAGGCTCTAGTTTCACTGTGTAAAAAGTGAAGGTGGATAGTTCGTTGAATATGATATGGCATGAAACTAATTAAAAAGGCAGCTGTCACAACTATGATCATTCCTATAGCCTTTCTACGACTTGGCAGATTTTTCTTCATTGAATTTTTTAGTAAGGTCAGAATGATCATTGTGTAACAGACAATTATAATGACAAAAGGGATAATGAAGCCAAAGCATAATGACACATAATGCAAGATCAAGACATATTTTTTAGTTTGATTGTCCTTTGGAGGCTCAAAACATTTAGTATTGTTTTTGTCATCTTGGTAAGATTTGGACATTAAAAATGGAGAACTAGTCAAAATCACAAAAATCCAAATTCCAATACACACAAACCTGGCTTTTTTCTGTGTAACCAAATTAATATTCTGGACTGGAAAAACAATTGCAACACACCGAAAAAAGCTCATGGCTGTCATAAAAAAGATGCTACAATAAAGGTTAACATATAAGGCATAGGTGCTGAGGCGGCACAAAAAGTCACCAAAGAGCCACTTGCCTTTGTGAACATAATAGACCACACGGAGAGGTAATGTACATACACAAAGTAGATCTGCTATGGCTAGATTAATCATGTATACTTGGAAGGCTGATTTCTCATGATATGTTTTTATGAGGACATAGAGCACAAAGCTATTGCCAAAGAAACCCACAACAGAGATCATAGAATACATTGTGGAGTACACTTGATTGCGGAACTCGTCGATCGTATCATGGCATGTGTTATTACTGGCAGAAGATACTGTCATATTTTCAGATCCATCCATGTTCTCTAGGAATGCTTGCTTTGTGCCTACAACAAGTGAAAAAGATTTTGTCAATTAAACTAGATCTTTATATTGTTGTGCACATCAATTCACTTCCCAGTGTCTCTATACTTTTTATGTGTAATTAAAATATTGAATAAATGTTATTATTCTTTGAAAATTTCATACATATATTCAGTGTATATTGATCACGCCCAGCCTCCATCTCACTCTCCAAGCCCTTCCCAGCATGGCTCCCTTCAAACTTCATGGTCATTTTCTCTCTCTCTCTCTCTCTTTTTAAAAAATAACCGGGGAGTCCAATTAGTGCTGCTCACATGCACATCCACCACAGCTGGAAGCAATTGTCAGGTTATGAAGAAAGAGTCAGTTGAACTTTGCCCCCAGGAGGAAGGCTGGGTCCTCCAGACATGAAGCAAACTTTTTCCTCCTTTCTCATCTATGTACCCCGACAGAATTCTTAATTCCCAAGACCCAGGTAAAATATCCCCTTCATATCATACTGCTGTAGTATTAATCTATAAAATTTCCATTCAAATAATTTATGATTTTACTTACATAAAATAACTTTAAATATACTAGTTTTACATATATGAGTGTGCATGTATGCATCTATTATCATCAATCATCTAATTACCAATGTATTGCTTTATAAAAATTAGTACCTAAAATCTGCACAAAATACTTGATTTCCCCTAAAAGAGAACTATGTAACGTCTTCTGGATGTATGTCATACCCAGGGAAAATAATTTAGTTCGTGTTGGTGAAACTCACTCTCATAGGAGAAATTCTTAATCTGGCATTAACTATTTAGAACCATAGAACACCACAGCAGGAGAAACATAATGACCATAAAGTTATAATAGTGATGAGAAAAAAGTTCCAGAGAGGTGAAATTTACAGTTGAGAAATCTGTTCCATAATTTAAGGCTCTGAGGAAAGAAGTGGTATAATTAATCGGAATACACTTGTCAGATGAGGAAATTGTAGCTGTTCATTCTCATTCCCTTCTCAGACTTGTATTCAAAGCTTCGAGTTTAGCCATACACAGTTCATTCAAAGCAAAAGATTGTTATTTGGTCTATCCAAGGGCATTCTGGCAGCTAACTACCTTATTAGCAACAGCTAGGGATGGGATAGCATAGACATAGTCATTTATTTCTTCGGTGTTCTTTTGCGCACGAGTCAAAAAGGAAGCAATTCAATACGTAGTCTCTTACTGGTTTGTTGACTTTTATATAGCTTTCTGGTAAACAAGGTATCTGGAAGAATGCTCAGGAATTCAAGAGCTACTAGTGTGGAATAGGATGGATCTTGTCCACATAGTAGAGATATGGAAAGAGGCAGCTCTGATAGTTGCTGTAGGGGGATAGAGCTTGACAGGTTTCTAGCCAGGAACAATTTCACCTGGTGTTTGTGATGTGTTATCTATACATCTTGCCATTCCATCTATTTATATTATTTTAGCATTTGAAATGACATTTTCACCAAGAACTATTTATATACAATTTTTAACAATGAAGAGGAATAATTCTAAGGCTATAGAGAAAAACCAGCCCACCATTCCTAATGTCTGCATGAGTTTTCAATTTGTGCTCCAGGTTTCTTTTCCTGTGGGTTCTCTGAATTTGGGTAAAGGAAAGGAAACTTCCCCAAATTAATCTAATCTTTTTTGTTGATACTGTTTTAGGTATTTTCTTTAAACTGAGCCATTTTATGCTATGAAGCACTAGATGGTGCTATTGAGATTTTTGAGATAACTTTCCCCTTTCTAGTTTTATTCACAATATTTGAGACATCAACATAACATGCTTTTAAAAATGTGTCTATAATAGGATATACAACACCACAAATGATAATTTGATATCTGTAAATACTGTGAAATGATTGCCTCTAGGAAGTTAGTTAGTAGCTCCCTCTCAAGCCCATCTTGGTGGTAAATTTCTGTAATTCCAGCGGATGCAGGAAGATTGTGGATTTGAAATAAGGTTGGGACACAGGGAGACCTTGGCTCAATCAATACACAGACCAAATAAAAACCATACCCACCACCCAATTTCTGTCCTGTTTTATTGTTCGGACTGAATTGCACCTTCTTGATTATGCCTTTTCTCATTGTCCATCCAAAGATATTTCTATCTTGGTAGAACTAGTAGAGAATTTTCATTCTGTTTGGCACATCAGCTATGTGTTATCTTTTCTTCTGGACTCTCTGGTTGATAAATAAGGCAGCACCTCATAAGGGACCCGTTACTCATTTTGGTCCATAAATGCTCAGTGTTAACTGGAATGATAAAAACTTTATCATTTGAAAGTACATTTTTCCATTTGAAACAACTTAGCATGGCCATCTCATTGCACTACAATTTAAAGTCTTTTCAACCTCATAAACTAAAGAAGTTGATGTAGACAAATTGCTTCCTAAAGTACTAAGATACCAAATTATAAAGCTTAATTGTAAGGGTTAAAAATACCCATACTGTTGATACACAAATTATTTGTTCGTACATTGCAAATTACAAATAAGTTTGAAATTCTAAGCTGCTCAAACAAAAAAATGCCAAATAGAGCCATAACGATTAAAAGTACACAAATAAATGAATAACCCACAGCGCTCTTTGAAGTAGAATAAACTTCCTTATAAATTTCAGTTTTCTGGTTTTATTTTTATTTACACACAAAAACAATTAATTATATTAAGACATAAAAATTGTAGAATCTTTGAACAAGAACTAGATTTTAAAGGGGTAGAGATCATTTAGTGTAAAGTAGCCATTTCATGTATAATGACATAAAATGTCTGAGCAGTATTTAATTAGGTTTTGTATAATTTACTGTGATTTTCCTAATGATGTGACCCCCTAGGAGATGGATACAGAAAGTTCCTTTGGAAGCCAATCATTTCTTAAGAACCAAGTCCTGCCTTCAAACAGCTCACAGTTGGGGAAGGAAGTGAGTGCTGAGGAGTAATAACTCAATTGTTTGGAGAGGCTGTGATAAGTCTAATAAAAGACACCTTAGCACAAAGCAAATGAATTACGAATTGATTAATGAAAGAAAGCAGTAGGCACAAATGGTGTCGGCTTTATTTCAGCACAGATGATGAAGAACATTATTTCCTTGAGAAAATTGCAAATTGAACAGGGTTCATTCTGAAACTGGAGCCATACCTCTTTCTGGCACTGCAGTACCTTCACAAAGTTTCCTTCTTACTGTGGCCTCTGTTCTTATGTTGCAACGTCAGAGTACACTCAAGCTGAAATCATAGATTGCAAAAAGGAGTTAGTGACCTCAAAAGCATTCCGGAAGGGTCATGGGAACTTAGCAGCCTTAAGTACAGGTCTAGAGTGTGATGGCACATCAAAGCTATACTGACAGATTTAGGGCTGCCCATTGGCTTCCATGACTCCTTGTTTTCCCTTCATCCCTTTTTACATTCCCAAGGGGAGAGGGACTCGGAATTGGGACCATGAGTGGTTACAGATGTTTGCTGATGTCTGCATTCAGCTTTTTCACCTAAAGATGAATATAAAGTTATAAAATATTTTTTTCCTATGAAATTATATTTTCTCTATAAGATTTAATTATAAAGTTCAAAGATGGAATAATTTGGAAATTCTCACCCAAGGACTTAGTTTGCTAGGAATAGGAGTTAGAATATCAAACAAAATTTTTCTTAACTTGGAGAATAATATTATTTGAAAGAAGACTGACTTAACGGAGCTTGAACTAGATCCTCAGACTCATAATAGGACTTTTTGGATTTGGTCACTAACTTCACATATATAGTTCTGGAGAGCAATAGTTTTAGAATCTTGAATATGTAAACTTCAAGGGTGTGTCCTTCCAGCCAAAGTACTGTTGTGAATCAATGAGATACAGCAAATATGTCATAAACTAATAAAGGAAGGCTTTCCTGACGCAGTAGCACCCTTGGCACTTCTCAATCTTTGCTGTGTTATCGCTTTCCTCATTCTTGTCTGCCAGTAAGATTCCCCAGTCTGTCACTTTTTCTTTATGTGTGGTCCCAGTGTTAATAAAATAAACACCTTCTTCCAGTTTATTTTTATAAAGTAGACACGGTCTGGAACTTTCCAAAGGAAATCTACTGACAAAAAAAAAAAATGCAAGTAAAAAGAAAATAAAGGAAATTCAAAGATATAAAATGTGTTCACCCTGTTCTTAGACAACCACGTTTCACAGAGTCTCCAGCTTTCATTATTCTCTTTCTGCAGGTAAGGAGGCAACCCTTGGAAACTGCTATAGTCTGGTCAAGAGTCTGTTGCTGATTGAGAGTTACTCACAGCTGGCTCTAAAACTTTTGTTAAAAAACTGGCAGTAACTGTTTTTTTTTTTTCCTTAGTTGCTTTTCTCATGTCTTAACATACTGATAAAGATACACTAAATGAATGTTAAACATATAAAATATTTTCCATCATAAAATTATGTGATTCTACTCATCTGATCTTGAAAGAAAATTAATTTTGCCACTGTCATAGATTTTTTAAACAAAACTGGAGTTTCTCCTTAGAGTTTTGCAAAAAGAAAGCTGGTGAATTTCAAAAATGCATATCTGAGAAGTGCAGCCTTACAAATTTAGTATACTAAGGAGTTATTCATTTCTGTGCTGGTTGTCCAATTATAATCTTGCCTAACCTGTATATGCACATATGAGTAAGTGTCACATTGTCTGGGACATAGGGTAGTTCCCCCCCCCAAGTTACCAGTGTGGGGCAATCTGTGTTCCTTTGAACCCCAGAATTTAAAAGGACTGGAATTACCTCAGACTTTTTTGCTTTGCATATAGCAGGCATCGGTACTCAGTGACCCCACAACTTGCAGCTCTTTCTCTTTTAGTTTGCTTGCAGACTCTTGTTTCTGATAGTAGTTTCTGCCAATATTACAAGCTACCATTTTTAACCATATACAGAAAAGGTGTTGCAGTAAAAGGATAGTTATGTGATTTTTGTGTGTATGTGTGTGTGTGTTGGGTATTAAACCCAGGCCCTTACCAATGCTAGGCACGTTTTCTACCAGCAACTTCACCAACAATCTCTCTCTCTCTCTCTCTCTCTCTCTCTCTCTCTCTCTCTCTCTCTCTCTCTCCCTCTCTGTGAGTGTGTGTGTGCATGTGTAGTATATGCATATGCTGTATGTGGTGTATGCAGGAGTCCTCTATCAATCTCTGCTTTATTCTCTTATGTCTGGGTCTCTTATTGAACCCGGGGGTGTCTTTGACTACATTGACTGGCCATCAAGCTCAGGAAATCTTTATCCCTCTACCTCCAGTGCTGGGGTTATAGGCATGTGTGGCTATGCCTGGGTTTTTTACATGGGTGCAGTGGATTTGAACTCAGGTTCTGACTGTTGTATAAGTGCTCTTACCCAATGAGCCATACTTCCCAGCCCTGAATATATGATTCCAATTCAGATCATTTAATTTTTTTAACTGTCTCATGTTCAGTCAATAAAATTTATAGAACCTCTATTCTTATATAGGAAAGGGCATTTTCCTACAAGCGAGAGAGTAATTGTTTGTTAGACTTTAAATACATTAAAAGCAAATAACAGAATGAATTAACAGAGTAAATAAGAGAGTTCAGAAATATTGTAAGAATACAAGGGCCCAACTTACATGCTTACAGTTTTGTATATGTCTGCATGCACACACATGTTTGTATGTATGTATGTATGTATGTATGTATGTATGTATGAGTCAATTATGTATTATTTTGACTTAAGTGGTTCCCAGAAAGGTATTTTCTACTCAATGAAATGGTTGCTTTTTTTGTTTTTAGTAAAACAAAAACTCATAGACCATCTTAACCCAATTTAATATTTCTCTACTTTGATGTGGGTGTGATGTGATATGTTGTTCGTGCCTTTTTTGATGATTTTTATTTATTGCTTTGTCATTCTCATCTGTGATCACTCAATATAATTCTCATTATTTTTGCTTGAGTTCCACTAGCACAGAGCAGCAAGCAAATTTTATTAATTTTATATTTCCTGCTGGGCATAGTAGATAGTACATTTTAAATATTGGTTGATTTGAGTTAATACCTTTTCTGTACAATTTTATTATGTGTGTTTAAAGTGAGAGGGAATTCTTGTACGGAGAAAGACCACAATTGGAAATTTGAAGGACGGGGTGCCTGCAGAACCAGATCATACCTCAGGCTCTGGTGGGTGATTAATTAAGTGATCTTTGGAAAATCACTTCCTCTCTGTCAAAACGTTACTTATTTGCAATACAATAGGGTTAGATTTTATGACCTCTAAAGTCCCTTCTAATTTATCACTCAATGCATCTGTAAAGATCAGGGCTATTTTTTTTTTCTTGAGAGCATGTAATATAAGTGATTTATAACTGCAATGAAGAACACGGACATAAATTGTTTGCAGTCTTGGCTGTATTTACAATGTACCAGTTTTCTAAAGGCAGCACATTAGTTCTATGATGCTGTTTTCTAAACTAAGTGATAACTATTATGATGAGAAGTTGCTCTACTTTCCAGGGCTCACAGATCCCCTCTCTGTGCTTACCCCTTTCAAAGTTACACTTCTGGTTCTGACAGTATGAAAATAGCTTTAATAACTCATACATATAGGTTGTCTTTCTCTATACACTGAACAATTACATACATTCACTCTATAACCTTGAAGATAATTCTGCAAAGTAAATGTCATTGTCAGCCCAGTTTCACATTTGGGAATACCGAGGCAAGGAGAAACAATTAGCTTTGGAATTCATCAAGCCCTGAAGTTATTGTTGTTTGTTCCTTTTTATAATCTGTATCAGATGCCCATCTTGCTTGATAACATGGCTCCAGGGTTCTAGGACCAGTTATTTATCTACCAAGATCTTAGAAGTTGCTTGAAATATACTTTGCACAGTTTATAAGAAAGAAGCTTGGGTTGCTGGGAAAGTATGTCTTTTCCTTAATGTGGACAATATTTGTTCTTGGGCCTTTAAAACCTAGATAAACGAGTCACTTTCTTCCCAAGTTAAAAAAAAAAGTTTTTAAATTTGTTTTATTTAAACTAAGTGGAATCAGTGATGTAAAGATCCAAAATTTCACTTAAGACAACTGTTATTTCCTGTGTGTTTTTGGAAAATTTCTTAATCTTCTGGGATCCAAAGTGCAGAATCAGGTCATTGTTTTTAGATAAGTTTTGAGTTCACATGCTTAGAAGCAAGCAAACTTGCTCTTTTTTCCAGAGTGATCAAAGTTCCCTCGGACATCTTTGCTGGTTGTCAGCTGTATCTGACTACCTTTGAATATGGTTCTTATAAGAAAGCAAGACTGTTTTTGATGAAATAAATACAATCAAAATAAATATTTTTGTGTTAAAAAGTGATCATGTGATGTATTCACCTTGCTCGATTGAAACAATACATTTGTTGACTAGTAGCTTCTTGTACCCCATTCCACGACAACTGCCTTTTATTCTTCTATGCTGTGAGTGTGACTGTTTTGGTAATTTGTGTAAGTGGAATGATACAGTGTTTTTCTACAACTAGCTTACTTTGCTTAGCATAATGCCCTCAGTATATGCCCATGCTGTTAAAAGTTCCTTCTTTTCTAAGGCTGAAATTTACTTCATTTCATGGTTATACTGTCTTTTAGTTACCCATTATTTTGTCAATGGAAGTTTTCAGTTATAGTCTATATTATTATTTATAATAAGCTCCTTGTTCTTTTTTATCCTAACTGGGAAGAATGCCAATACAGTCACCTAATACCACAAATTATGCAGTTGAGTTTCCAACACTGGGGAAATCACAGGGGGGTAGAACATCCGGAGTGCAATGGATGAGTCTAGCCCTGGAAAAACCACCTTTTTGATCATTGTATCTTCTTTGTCAGGTACGTAGTATGAAGACTACTTCTTACAGATAAGACAAACCACTATTTTTTTTTCAAGAAAATAGAAAACAAACCTTGATTTTCTAAGTGGGTAAGAAAACTAGGCATAGAGGTAAAAAATATAGTAGTTTTTGAAGAGGAAAATTCTACATTTGGATCATTGATGCATCTATACTTAGCTGTGTGATCTTGAGAAAGTTGCTCAATATTTCTGCTACCCTGTTGTCACTTATGCAAAAATTGAGATAACAAAACCAAAGACAAAGGTATGTCTCTCTCCCCCCCCAGTGTGTGCGTGCATGCGTGCGTGCGAGTGTGTGTGTGTGTGTGTGTGTGTGTTTGTATAAATGAGTAGTAGTTGGGTAAAGTCTAAGAAACTAGGAAGGAAATCAAGAGTGATACAAATAGGTGATGAGGAAGAAGGGGGGATTGGCAAAAGGACACATGAAACATTAAAGGAGAAAAGAGACAGGGAGGAGGGGCTAGGATTAGCAAAGGGGTGGTGAGGGAGATGAGTGGGAGGAGAATCACTAAAACACCCTTTGACAATGTAATAATATTTAAAATCAGTCATTAAAAATAAACATTTAAAAATATGACAAAGGAGCCCAAATAATAGCAAAACCTGAGAATGTTGCTGAAGGTTACAAGGTGAAGGCAGGGTTTTGTGGTGTTAAAGGAAGTATTGGAAAAAGTAACAAGATTCCACCAAAGAAGAACCTAAGATGGAAGCTCACCATCCCTGCTTGTTGTTGGTCACTGTTGATCTGAAGTATCGAACTGTACTGTATGTCCCCAAGTGTAGCTAAAACAGTAGTACAAGTAATATGTCTCTCATGTACACTTAATCAGTTAGCTGTTCTTAGTGGATAGGGTAGATTGGAAGTTAGCCCTGTGGCTTTGTAAATAAATGGCACATGAAAGTTATAAATTGAATTAACATGCATTAGACTGAATTGGCTTTGCCCTCATAATTAAAAACATCTGGTCTAATCATAAGCAGAATAAGATGAAATGCCTGTTGAAGCTTATCTAAATTAATCCAAACTGCTAATTTAATTAATTTTACTAAATGTATTGAGATCCATATAAGTTTTTAATGGCTAGGGGTTGATACTGACTCTCTATATTCGGCTTTATTCTAGAAAGATGTTTATACATAGTCTCATGATAAGTTTATACTAAAGCTAAAGCATCTTAATTAGAAATTAGTCTTAAACAGACAAACCAATTATCTTGGTTTAAAATTCCTCCTCTGCATAACAAAGCACACACACATATAGTACAACTATATAGCATAGTAAAAAGAAGTTTTATGTCTATCTATGTGTTTTATTTAGTTTAACTGAATCTATTTAGGAGAGGCAGTATATATTATCCATCTTAATGTTTTTGTTTGTCATTGAATTGGTAGCAGGAATCACACTTGAATATGGCACGTGGTTCTTATTGGTCCAGGAATAACACAGCAATTGGGTTATCCCTATCTACCTCTGTGCTATTCATATCTTGGATAAAAGAAAAGAAATGGAATTATCCAGATGTTATCAACTGGTGGGTGGAGTTAGAACTCTGAATAACTTTGAAAAACTTAAATGAATTAGGCGATGTTACTAAGGCTTCTAGCAAATACATTTATCCAGTTCGTTAAATACCAGTCAAGAATGTGCTAATTAGAGGAAGGAGGATGGGAAGGAAAAGTAAGAAGGATAGTGGAGTGGAGAAAAGGAGGGGGAAGCTGAGAGGGAGAAGAGAGAGGGGAAGGAGGATGAGAAGGAGGAGGGTAGGTATGGAATGCAAACTTCAACTTGTTCATAAATCAGAAATGCAAATTTAGTTGTGATTAAGACCATAATCATCACACTCACACTTTCTTCTACCTCAGAATCTCTTGATAGTCTATAGCAAGAGTATAAGTCTCCTCAGTGATAAATTTTGAAAGAACTATATATGTGTTAGTTTCAAATTTGCTTCTCTAATGCATAGTCTATTATAAAATCCTACGCAAAGAGTAACTTGAGAGTGTCAGGATTTCATGAGAATCCAAGACCAGTCACTATCATAGTCACTATCATAGAATGAGACATAAGGGACATAGCAATAAAATGATCCCTAATGGCATGTTGCTATAGCCATAGACCAGTGCGTTGCTCAGTGTTCATGAGAGAAACTTAATTTTCAGTGAATGACAATTAACAAAGAGATACACAACTGGACAGCGACAAAGGGTGAGAGACTTTGGGACACTCAGCCTTAAATAGTATGTATTCATCAAACCCTCATTTTCAAGGCTTAAAGACCTATGCAGAAGGCATTATAAGAGTGTAAGAGCCAGAGGTGGTGGATGACTCCAAGGACACAGCTTTTTCGAGACACAACAGGACTGACACACATATGAACTCACAGAGACTATGGCAGCATACACAGGACCTGCACAGTTCAAACCAGAAAAAGTCCCATCCCCGGAAAGGGAGGTTGCCAGCCTTAATGAAGAGCTGTTTGGAATTGATGTCACTGGGATGTCAACCATCTCTGGAGCAGGCCCCATGTCCAGGAGTAGTTGGCCAGCACAAAACAGACTTTGTTTTGTTTTTAGTGAGCTTCCTGTTTTGCTTTGGTATTTTCTTACACCCCCCCACAAGAAAACATTAAAGTGAGTGGAAAGGATCTAGGAGGAGTTATGGGAGAGGGAAGAATAAGATCTGAAAATATTGTGTGAAAACAATTTTAAATAAAAAGAAAATGGATGAAAACTATGTTTCCACACACAGCAAGATGAATGAGAACACTAAACAAGCCAATGAAACTGAAACACATGTTAGAATATTGGAAAGAATCTCAACTACTGAGTAAAAAAGAAGCTACTAAAAGAGGCTGTAAGAAACGATTTGGTGTCCGTGAAAGAGAAAAAGAGACTGGAGTGGGGGAGTTACAAGTGGGGTCTCAGAGTAACAGTAGGGTGGGAGAGATAGATGGGGGGAAAGGAGGATTATTAAATTACAGTTTGTTCCAAATTGTCATAATAATATTTAACACTTTATGTGGTAATTTAAAAACTGACAATTAGCCAGATGATGGTGACAGACACCTTTAATCCCAGTATTTGGGAGGCAGAGGCATTCAGATCTCTGTGAGTTCGAGACCAGCCTGGTCTACAAGAGCTAGTTCCAGGGCAGCTTTCAAATCCACAGAGAAACCCTGTCTCGAAAAAAACCAAATAAACCTCAACCAACCAACCAAGCAACCAACCAACCAACCAAACAAACAAACAACCAAAAACTCCAAAACAACTGACAATTAAAAATGTTTGTTTGGAATTATGTGGACAGAGAGTCTAAATAGGATGTTTCCATCAAGTTCTTTCCCCAGGAGTGTAGGGAATTCTGTGGAAGACAGGGAGGAACATTATAATAGTCAGAGGGGATGGAGGACACCAAGAGAACATGGCCCACTGACTCAACTAAGCAGCACTCATATGGGCCCACAGAGACTGAATCGGCAAGCATGGGGCCAGGTCCTCTGTGTATATGTTGTGCCTGGTAACTTGGTGTATGGTGGGACTCTTAACAATGGGACTGCATGTGTCTCTGACTCTTTTTTTGCCTGCTCTTAGTACTCTTTCTCCTGTTGGTTTGCCTTGTCCCACCTCAACATGAAGGCTTCTGCCATGTCTTAGTGTATCTTGCTTTGTTGTATTTGGTTGCTGTCTCTCAGAGGCATGCTCTTTTATGATGGGAGACAGATGAAGAGTGGATCTGGGGAAGTGGGGGATGGGTAAAAGTGGAGGAAAGGGAAACTATGTTTGAGATGAATTGTATGAGAGAAGAATCTATTTTCAATTAAAAATGTTTGCAATGAATTTGCTTTTACTCATGATGAGAGATAGAAGAGCATCCAGAGAAAATCTAATGAAATCCCATTTTCTTTATGTCCCAGAAAGACAAAACCATTGCTGGAAGTAGCATAAAGAATTAGTCTGTAAACCTGGACATGATAATAGTCTGGTGAGCCTCCATGACAGCACACGGTTATGTTTCAGATGCCTCAAGGTGTTTCACTAAGCACTTGTGCATAAGACAAAGCCAGCACTTATGCTTTCAAGGGTGTCCAATGAGCTCTCAATTCAATTTGAATAACTATTCAGTAGTACAAAAATATTTCATTTTAACCTTGTAGTCACTTCCTCATTGTTTGTTATATAGACAGCTTATAAACATGGCCTTATGACTAGCTCCATTTGTCTTTTGATTTCTTGTCCTTTGCTCATGCCACATTGTCATACGTGAAGTATTCTTTGTCCTCATCCATATCAGATGTAATTCAAACCATCTTTAAGCCAATCTGTTACATCATATCCTCCATATCCTTCATAGCATACTCCTTTGTGGTGATACGCTAGTTATATTAAAAGGCACTTTATTAGCCATTTAATATATCTATACTCTCTGTTATGCCTTTGAAAACAATATATAAACTCTTCCTATGAAGACTTTTCTATAATCTAGAGAACGATACAGATGTATTAACAAGTATCACTGCAGCTGCTGCAATGGAAATATATAGATACATAGATAAACAGGGTATAGTGGTTTATGCCCAAAATCCGAAAACTTGAAAAAGTATGGAGGATTGTTGAGTTCAACTCCAGCGTTGGCTACAGAGTGACTTCTAGGCCAACCTGGGCTACATAGGAAGTACCTGTCTTAGAAGACCACCCCCCCATAAAGAAAATGAAACATAATAAAATACTTAATGAGAAGTGAATGTATGTTAGAAAAGGCCTTCTAAAAGAGAATGGGAGGGCAAGCAATGAGGATGAGTGAGGTGCAGCTGTGTGAAAAGGCCTGGCATGTTTAGGGGATCTGGAAATTTGACTGAGTTGAAATGTAAGATGACAGGTTATTTGTATGTATGTGTGTATATTTGGAAGTGTGGGCATCTGTGCTTGACGGGAGTATGAGGATGAAAGGTGAGAAATCAATGTGGGGAATAATGTAGGAACTAGGTC